GCAAGCAGCATGTGTCAGGGCTGCCCCTGCCCTCGCCCACCTGTGTTTGCAGCTTCAGCTTTCTGTCTCCTAGACCCTCGTCCCTGCCCTGCTCTCCTTCCCTCCCACTGCTTTGAATTTCAGCCAGCACAGAGCAGCTAGGCTACCCAGAGGACAAAGAAGAGGACTGGGAGCAGGTTGTAGCCCGGTGCGGCACTTCTGGAACTGCTGTCTGGGGGCAGGCGTGTATTCGGTGTGCCTTGAAAATAGTGTTCCCAGCTGAGTTAACTCTGGAAGCTCTGGATTACACAGAGGCACATGGGCTTTTTCCCCGCATGACTTCTCCCAGCCTTTGTGACTCCGATGCACAGTCTGAATCTTAGGAAGGGCGATTAGTAGGCAGCATTTTGTATTTTACCCCAGGGAAATACCTAATACCATCTCTCAGGATGGGAATTGCACCAACAGTGTAAAGGAGGCCAGCTTAGTGTTCAACAGTCTGAGCTTCAGAGTCAAGCTTAAGATCAAGTTTTGCCACTCAACTAACAGCCTTACCTTAGGCAAGTTACTTCTGAGCTTCAGTTTCCTATCTGTAATTGGGGTGATAACACCCTCCTGATAGGTGTTTTGAGCACTAAACAGCATCATGTATATAAAATGTTAAGAACAATGCCTCGAGCTTAGTAAACTGTCAACATTAGTTGTCGTTTAATTGTTCAGCCAGATCACCCAAAATAAGATGATCTGCTAGCCTGGACTCCAGCTGCACACAGCTGGCTCACAGCTCTGTCTAGCCTGGAGTGCCCTCTGCCCCATACCATACTGCAAGGTGCCTGCTTCAAGCTCCAAATGTAACACCTTCCTCCCCACCCAAAACCACTTTCCTTCCTCCCTCTGTCAACATCCAGTTGCCCACCCCAGAAGCCCGGGAGCCATCAAAGACAGCCTCCCCCCAACATGGAGTTGGTCACCAAGTGACATCAATGGCATTTCTTGTTTAAGAGATTCCAGGTTATAAAAACCCCTCCATTCCTGTGGCTCCTGTCCAGACTGCACCTACTGCCAGGCCAGTTACCAAGTCAGATTCTTTGCCATTCTCTCTAGCAAGAAAGCCTGTCTTCCTCCCTCAGTCCACCCAGTTGCTATCCTTCAAGCCCCAACTAAGGTACCATTCTTCCAAAGCCCAATTGCTAATCCTGCATTTTCTCCCTCGAGCCACACGTCTTGCAGTGACCATGTCAAGCCCCGGGCAAATTTGTTTTCTCTTTAAACCCCTTGGTTTAAGAGAGTACCTGACACTGAGTAGGACTGTCAGTAAATATTCGTTGAGTTAAATTTACTTGAGTTTTACAAAAAGGTACTGTCTTCCTTTCAGTGATTCAGTGATTCTTTTCAAAGGGATCGACAGCTAATTGTTCCAAAGGATTCCTTGGCTATTTTGCCACTGATAACAGCTACCATCTCTTCAGCATCTACTGTGTATCAGGTACTCTAGCAAATGCTTTATTTACATTAACTAATTTAATCCTGTGAGCTGGACTCTAGTGTTCTCCCCATTTCACAGATGAGTATTTTGAGGTTTATCTAATTGATAAATGACCAAGGCAGGATTCAAACCCATGCTTCTCCCTTCATCTGTGAACTGAGATCCACCAATATTCCCATCTTGACCATGGTCATCTAGATTTTTAAAGTGTGATTTACTGCAAACCTGATCTGTACTTTCCTGTGAGGAAAAGAGCCATGGGTTTTGCTTAGACCAAACTCTCTTAAAGACAATCTCCATTTTTATTTGTACCCGTCCTTTAGAGTTCTTTTCCTGAACAGCCCAGAACCAGGAAGAGCCGAGTATAAGCCTCAATAGCTAAATCCCTATGGCTCGAGCCTCTCCCCTGATTCCCTAAAAATGGCTGGCACTTTTATGCCACATTTTCTCAGTAGGGAGGAGAGTTGGGTAATTTCATTAGGAAGCATTCTTGAGCACTGCTTTGGTCCCAGGCACTGTGCTAAACACTGAGTTCAGACTAAGGGTTCTCTGCCTTCCAGGAGCTCATAGCCAAGTCAGGAGACAGTACACGTGCACATTCTGGCTATAAAACTGGAGGTTAGGTAGAAAGAGCCCTGAACTGAGTCTGAAAGACCTGGATCCAAATCCAAATTGGAATCTGCAACTCCAAAGTCCAGAAAGTTCTACAAACTGACAGTTCTGTTTTGATTTCTTTTGTTTCACAACTCGTTTGGAGGGAAAACCTGATCTACAGTGAAGTTTTTATGTGGTCATTATTCATCCCACTTAGTGTGAATATTCATACATTTTGCTGCAGAAATAATGTGTCTGATCACAGAGTGCTGCCCCAACCCCCACAGGGGGTTATAGATAATACGTGGTTCTGAACTCTGACGTTCTGACGTACATCTCACCTGCAGTTTTAGAAAAGGAATGTGAACTTAGACCTGTTGTGACCAGTTGAAAGAAATGTATGAAAAGACTTCATAAACTAAACTGAAAAACTCAATGTAAGCTGGTCTTAAATGGTATAGTCACCCCTTCTGAGTAACGAGAGCACTGTAGATGGAGCAAGTGATTTTTTTCAGGACCAAGAGGGTCAGAAGATATTTTAAAGGGTGAATTGAATTTCTTGCTTCATGGAGAAGCTGTGGAAAAGAAACTCCAGGCTGAGGGAAGAGCATGTCTTTAAGTAGCTTGAGCGCGTGGACTGTGTCGGCTTGTATGATTATTTGTCACAATGTCAGAGAAAAGCAGTACAGATAATATGAAGGGGCAACTAGTCTACAGTTCATTTGCTCTGGGCAGGATTTTTCTTGCAGACTTACACATGCGTTCAGAGAGAGACATCATGGTCAGGCTGATGGCTCCCTGCCCCACCTGCTGGGGAAATTGGGAACCCCTCTCCAGCTCCCCAGGAAGGTCCAGCAAGGATCACACCTGCACACCACTCCAGACTGGTGCTCAGCTTGCCACTCTCTGCTTGGTCCACTTAGCCCCTTACCAGCTGGCTTCTCTGGCGTCAGACCACCAGGTTCAAATCAGATCAGCCACTTAGTACTTCTCGTGGCCTTCAACAAGTTATTTACCTCTTTTGTGCCTTTGTTCCTCAGCCATAAAATCAGAATAATGGCAGAAAGCTGGCATGGAAAGCACTTCAGAGTGCCTCAGTGGTAAGCACTCAAACAGTAGTTATTATGATTATTGTTATTACAAGGACTCCCCTCCTCCAGCTGTGTATAAATACATACATTCCTTAATAGTTCCCTAAACAAGAAGGGCCCTTTCTTTATTCTTTCTGGCTTGGTCATAACTCCTTCTGAGTTAACTATTTTCTGTACAGTGTTTCTTTTTCAGTTTTTTGCAGCTGTTTCTCAGTCGCGGTGAGGCAGGGCCTCCCTCACTTTGGTCATGATCCAGGACAGGGATTCCCAGACTGGGGCCCTGAGATTCCCAGGGGTCCTTGGAGGCTGTCAGGGGGATTCCCAGACTAACTTCAGGATGCTCATGCAGAGCACGGTAAATCAGAGTGCCGACTTTGAAAGCAGGGAAGCCCTGCCACTGACCAGTTCTCTTATCCTGTGCAAGTTTCATCATCTCGATGAGCCTCCATTTCCTACTTGACAGAATGGGATTATCAGTACTTTCCTCACAAGAGAGTTACAGCTTAGATCAGAGCATATATTTAAAGCCCTTAGCCCAGGACCTGATGTATGACAAATACCTCATAAATACCTGCCACCATTGTTACCACTCTTAGTACAAGACATTTCTTGAAAATCATATTTTTACCCCAAACGGAGCCTCAGGTATAATTAAAAGGTCAGATTTCTGCCAGAAGTGGATAGAATTACATCAGTTTAGTTCACTGACACTGTGGCCTAATGCTAAGAACCTCTGTGTGGCACTTATATGTGCCTTTGGTAACTGAAAATGAAGAGGGTTATTACTTAACAAGTACATTTGGGCAGAGGGAAAGGCTGCAAACATGAAGTCTTGGTGTGGAGAAAGAAAGAAAAGGAGTCTCTGGTAATTAAAAGTCATGAGGACCGCTGGTCTAGGATACCAGTCAGTACTTTTTGGAAGGTCTCCTTTTATTAAACACACACACACACACCTCTTATCACCGGGGCTCCCTCAAAAGCCCTTTAGCGGGTTTAACCCATTAACCAAAGTTCTGGTGCATATAGGCATTAGTCCCATCGTGTAGGGCCCATTGTGACCAGAGCCTTACCACATAGAAGTCCCACCTGAAATGGAAGAAGCTCTTGGCAGTGAGCAAGTCCAAACAACCACCACCGCCCGCCTTTTTACAAAGGGAGAAACAGGCCTAGAGTTGGGAATAAACTTGCCCATGGCGACACAAGCCATCATGTGGGGCTTCACACCTAAGACTCAGTGGTCCATCCAGCATCGCTTCTGACAGACCAGGATTCTCACCCAGAAGGGACATCCCCCCAGGAGGTGAATCACAGTCACATGGAATTCTTTCTGAACTATGTAGCACATCTTTCCATTTCCCTCACCCGCTCTGCAACTAACAGATACGTAAATAAAATTAAAAAGCGGAGAACAAATAAGCTAGCCCAGGGTGTCCCAGTTATGGTGGTCTATGGGAACTGCTTGGGCTGCCCCTTATCTTGAGATTTTGGTTCAGTAGGTCTGAGCTGGGGCCTGAGAATCTGCATTAGTAAGCACACCAGGTGATTGTGATAAGCAAGTTTTGGAAAAAACAAGGCAAATCCAGGCCAGCAGAAGGTTTACTAGCTTCTGTCTTAGAATGGGCAAGGGGATTTCGAGGGTACTAGAGATTTTCCACGTGTAGTTAATGAGAGTGTTAACCCATAGCCTGTGCTAATTCCCTATAGCACCTTTCTCTCTTCTAACAACCCTAATTTCTGGGCACACAATGGCAGCTCAAAAATGTTGCTGCCTAACCTACTTTGGGGAGATGATTTGAGCAAAAGATGCCCTGTCTAGCCTGGGTGACATCTCTCTCTCACTTTGTGCTTAGACTGAAGAACCTGGAGCTAGCTGCTGTGGGCAGATCAGACGTCCATGTGAAGATGCTGGCGGCCCCTATCAATCCATCTGACATAAATATGATCCAAGGTAACCTTGGTTTCTGTGGCTTACGTTAATTGGCTTTTTTGCTTAGCCGCCACCTCGTTTTCATCCTTCCTCAGGTGTGGGTGTGAAATTCCTGTGATTAGCAGCAGCTGCTCTCCAGATGAGCCATCTGCAGACTACCAGTCCTCTCTGGCCTCCCTTCTCTGGAATGTGAGGCTTTTCAAGAGTTAGAAAGATTGCAGTGGGGAGTAAACCAACCACTGTGAGTGCCTGCGATATGGTGGGCTCATTTCATACATTATCTAATCCCCATAATAACCATGAACGCTAAAAAATATTATCCCCTTTATGGATGAAGAAGCTAAGGCTCAGAGAGTCTGGTTAGTTACACAGCAGATCAGAGGCAGAGCCCAGATCGCACTTAGATCCGACTCCAAAGTTCATGCTCTTTCACTGCCCAGACTTCACAGGGTGACCCTTTGTGCTCTTCTCCCTTAGGAAATTATGGCCTCCTTCCCAAGCTGCCTGCTGTTGGAGGGAACGAAGGCGTTGGACAGGTGGTGGCAGTGGGCGGCAGTGTGACTGGGGTGAAGCCAGGAGACTGGGTGATTCCAGCCAGTGCCGGTTTGGGTGAGTTTCTCCAGGTGTCTGCAGCCTGTCTTTGTTCCAGATTGTATTTCACTCGCACTGGAAATGTTTGCTCATTGGCTCAGTGTGACTAAGCAATGCAGGGTTTATTATTGAGTTCATACACCCACCACCAGTAGCAGTGGGAGCGGAACAGGAGAGCAGAAATTGTGTTTCTTCCGCTCTGGAGGTGGTGGACCTACTCTCTCATCTCTTTGGGCCTATGTTGATCAGAGCTGTGAATCCCTACATCCCTAAATCCCTGCTATAAGATACAGTGGGAAACCCAAATAAGACAGCCTCTGCCCTCCAGAAGGTTAAAATCTAATTGAAGAAATCTCCAAACTAGTAACCTCAATAAAGGGTGTGTTAGAAGTTCGCAGGAAGCAGAGGGCACTTCTGGGTCCTCTCTGTGTGAATGCAAATGTGAGAGAGAGAGAGACAGTCTTAAGGAAGGATGAGGGCTTTGTGGAGGAGGCTTCTTTGGAATGGACCTTTGATGGATGGATTATGTTAGATGGCGATGAGCCAGAAATCATTACATTTGGAGGAAACGAAATGAGCAAAGACACAGGTGAGTGTGGGAAATGGTGAGAAATCCAGTGTAGCCTCAGCAGAGGATTTGCACATGGCAGAGGATTGCTTAAATGATGAACAAGATTACAAAGGTAGTGGGGCCACATGGGGGAGCCCTGCAAAAGCCAAGCTAAGGAGTTAGGGTTCTCTTTGATATCTAGTAAGGAGTCATTGATGAGTTTTGTTCCTTAGGGCTTCAGTTTTTGAGGCACAAACATTATACAAAGGATCCTGACAGCAGCCACAAGAGGGAAGCAGGGAAGATAGTATCTACCCCTTTGGACGTCTAAGGGACTGAAGCTCAAACTCAAAACAGCAAACTGAAAGCCCACCAAAAATCTTGTCGCCACTGTTTTTCCCGCTATACTACAGTATTAAGATTCTTTAGGGTATCACAGAGAGTTGATTTATAAAAACTTGGTTTATAAAAAAAGAAGTTAAAAAAGAAGAAGTTAATTGGTTGGGGTTAATTGGAACTGGGAAGTACAAGAGATGCAAGGCTTCAGGCACTGCTGGATCCAGGAACCCAGTGATATCAGAGCTCATTCTCTTGTTCTCACTAGTTCTCAGATGGAATCTTCCCACATAGTGATGTAATAACATCAACAAATATTTATTGTCTACTCCCTTTGCACCAGGCACTGTTCTAAGCACTTTGTATATATTAACTCAGTTAATCCCACAACAGGAGGTAGATACGAGACAAATGTAAAATATTAAGCAACTTGCCCAAGGTCACCCAGCCAGTAAGTGGTGGAGGTGAGATTCAAACTGACCTTTCATAGATGGCCACCAGCCTCCTGAGGTTTGCATCGTCCTAAGAACAAACAAATGAACACAGTCTGCCCAGCACAGCCGTATCCATCTGCTAGCAGGACTCTGACTGACCCTGCCTGGGTCTTTGCTCATCCATGAGCCCCGTCATTTCCAGCACTGTCACCACAAGCATCTTTACTGCAAGCATTTTCGTGGCATAACTAATTGGCCATAAGGCAACTTTGCTGTAAAAGATAAAATCGTGAAAAATAAAAGCAGGACGTTCATTAAAAAGGACATCATGAAACATGAAAAATGAGTAACAAAATTAAAAAGACTTTATTGCAAAATACAAAATGTTGGAATACATTCAAAATGTGTTGTGTAGATCCATAGCAATACTGCACAAATACTGATTTTATTTCGTGATCCACAAAAGGTACCTAAGCGCTTGTCTTCAAAGTCTTTTATTCCTAGTATCATACGATGCTTTTGCTTGTTGATTCGTCTCCTGAATCGGTATCATGCTTTTTTTTTTTTTGCTAGAATTTCTTCCTCGCTTAAGAGAAGTATCAGTTTCCAGATACTAGGATGCACGTTTGTAACGCCTTTGTATTATGTTGTGAAAGCCTTTTGCACTGTTGTCTGGTTTTGGCATATTGTCACATTTCTGTTGATAGACATTCCTAAGTTCTCTGGGAAATGTGGGCTCAAAACTCTGTGCTACTGTATAGACCATTATGAGGGCTAAGGTTTATACAGTATAAAACGGAAGGGATGTGTCAATGGAGAAATGAAACCAAACTGTCAACCAGTAGATGAAACCAACAAACTGTCAAACCAAACTGTCAGCCAGTTATTTTTTTAACTTTTTATGGCAAAATTGCCTTATGGCTAACGAATTATATGACAAAAATGCTTGTGGCAAAGATGCTTATGGCCTAAAACCACCAGGGGCGTGGGGTTGGGCCACTCCAATTGCCCCAGCTGAGTCTCTTGCCCACCCCTGTGGTTCAGAGGATGGGGCTTTGTGGTTGACAGCCTCAGAGGTTAGGAAGGAACAGTAAAAGAAAGGTACCAGGCAGGAAAAAACAGTAACAGAAGTCTCTGAGATCAGAAAAGCTGCCAAGAAGGACGCCTGGGTGGCTCAGTCGGTTAAGCATCCAACTCTTGATTTCAGCTCAGGTCATGATCTTGGGGTGGTGAGATCAAGCCCTGTGTTGGGCTTTGCGCTGGGAATGAAGCCTGCTTGGGATTCTCTCTCTCTCTCTCCCTCTGCCCTCCCCCCTCCAAAAGAAAAGAAAAGTTGCCAAGAATGGCTCCACTCTCTCCTGCAGCCCCACCTGGCAGTGAAAAAGTCCAGCCATCTGAGCAGAGAGCTGCAGGATTCACTGTATCAGGAGGGACTGGTGCTTTGCGCCAGCCCCTGTCAGACACAGTCTCTGCCCTCAAAGTGTTCTTGGCTGGGGATGGAGAACCCAGGAACAGAAAAAGAACACTTAGCACAATACAATCTAGTAAGCGCTGTAAAGAGAGGGTGGACACAAAGGCAAGAGTCCCCTGTCTTGGGAAGCATGAGAAGAGGCTTCCCAAAGAAGTGGTGCTTGAACTCAGCACCCCGTGGGCTAGGTGAGGAAGGGCTTCCAGGCAGGGAGTGCAGCGTGTGCAAAGGTGTGGCTGTGGGAAAAGGCATGGCACGGTCAGAACTGCAGGGGTGTGGCTGGGTCCCAGCTGGCCTGAGGGAGACACCAGATGAGGCTGTAGAGGTAGGCGGGGGCCCAGTCATGGAGGGCACACATCTAGGGTCAGAGAGAGCCCGAGGAAGAGTTCAGAAGCATGAGTGGACTTGGGCAGTGCAGAGAATGCTCTGGAAAAGCAGAGGTTGGAGGCAGGAAGCCAGTAAGGAGGTGGCTAAACAGTTCAGGCTGCACATGAGAAGGGTCTGAACAAGGCAGTGCCATAGGGCCTGAGAAGACAGGATGGAGTTAGAAGCTAAAGGAACAGAAGTCGGTCACTAGATTTGGAGAGAAGAATGAGGGGCATCTGCCAGGGGTGCAGGTAATCACACAGGTGGAGGAGGTGGGTGTCAGCCAGAACGGGGATTTCTCCCTGGACAAAAGGTCAGTCTTTCCCACCAGGTGCATGCCAGTCAAAGAACATGAGGATTTTATAATGTCTGGGACTGTCATCAACTCCATTTAGTCGGCAAGCATTTTGTGAGCCCCTGCCGTGTGTGGAGCTCTGGCACACGGCAGCGAACAGACGTGGTCTTTCTTCTGGTGAAGGCTGCAGGTTAGTAAGAGTGGCAGTCATTAAACAGAGCAGTCCTCAACTGGCCAGACCTTGATCATCCTTCATGGTGCTGAGCTGTGCCCATAGCCAGCATTTCCCCACATGCAGCCAGTCCCCAGGGAGACCAGGCCAGAGAATGTGCGGACTGACTTTCTCATCGGAAACGCTCAAAACCCTCCCGAGGCAGCATGGGGCGGGAGCAAGAGCATCAGCCTGGGAATCTCGTTCCATCCCCGTGGGTGATCTTGTTGAAGCCACAGCTACTTTGAGCCTCAGTGTCCTGATCTCTACAGTGCAGCTAACAGTCATTGCCTGGCATATCCCAACTCACTCGTACAGCTCAACTGAGGGAAGACACACAAGAATTTTGACAAGTTAAATTTCCATACGCATGAGATCAGGGTCAGCAAACTTTATTTTAAAGGGCCAATTGTAAATATTTTTGGGTTTGCAGGCCACACTGCCTCTACTCAGCTCTGCCATCCTAAACAGCCATGGACAATACATAAGAAGTGGGCATGACTATGTTTCGATAAAACTTGGTTTACAAAAACAGGTGGTGAACCAGGTTTGGCCCATGGCATAGTTTGCCGACCCCTGCATTGGGTGGTAGAGATGGTTAAGGGCCAGTTGCATAGGAGTGAGGAACAGGAGTCCTGAGAACTAGGACATGGGACTTAGGATCAGTAAAGGAAACCAAGGGACATTCCACATCTACTGTGTACTAGGCAGGGTGACCCTCCCAACAATGGGGATGAGCCCAGCCTCCTGTCAATGGAAGGTTAATTGTGAGGTGGGTTCCATGAGGGTCTTGAGAGGCCCCCTCCCAGCAAGACTGGGAGTGATCATCTGTACAAATGTCATTGTGTTTAATCTTCACACTATGACATGAGTGTCAAAAAAGGTGCAGTGATAATTCTAAGCCACACAAATCATGAATGGCAGAGCCGGGATTTTAAAACAGGTCCCCCACTCTAGGGTCTAAGGGTTTCTACTTTAAAACCCTGAAAGCCCTTGGGGCTGACCTTGGGTGCTACCCCCATCCCACCCAGGTTCTCTTGAGAAGAGGATTAGGGACTGCCAAGCCCCAGAAATTCATGTCAAAGGCTGGATTTCCATTGTGGTGCCATCAAGGGGAATTAGAAAACACCCCTGATTTCATGCATAGAAGGCCCTACAGTAAGTGTCTGGCGCAGAGTAGATACGGTACATGTTGGCTAAGGTGAATGGGGGCCATGAATATGAAGATGGCAATGAAGATTTGAAAACCAGGCTGGATGGAGCCCAGAGAATGCCCAGGTACCTCCTAGATTCCAAAGGAACCCTTCAGTTTTTCAATGTCTTGTCTTCTCAGCCACAGATCTACTCTGGAACTGACATAGCCCTTAATAAAGTGTGTTCCTACCTCCTGTCTCTACTACCTGGTCCCTGAAGCCCACATTGTCTCTCCCCTCCTACAGCACAATTACTAGTTGCGTAGGACTAGTTGCGTAGGCTGTCGCCTCCTCTCCATACCTGACCATGTGGTGCCAGGGTACAGTTTGAATCCCAGCACACTCCGGAGCTTTGGAGGCATAGGCCAAGACCCCTGAGACCCACAGCCACCAGACACTGAGCCAGCAAGGCTCTAGATAGTTTCTCTATTGACCTAGTGCGTATGTGGTGGAGCCAAGGCTTGAATCTGTGTCCTCCTCACCTCTGCTTTATACAGGATCCCGCCTGCATGGGTGAGCACCTGTCAGATGGCAGGTTGTAACCCATTAGCAAAATCGATCTAGGGGGTTGCAAACAGCATTTTTTTTTTTTTACTAAAATCAGAATCACGCATCACACGTAGTAGGGTAAATATTGTTCCATGAAACTTTGGTTTCTGTTATATGTATGTGTACATATTTATATATGCGAATGTACTGAGTGACACCATAACTCATGGTTACTCCAGGTCAGGATTGTGAAAGTCTGGGTGACATTCCTCTAGCCCAAGCCACTTCAGCCATGGCCCAAGCCTGTCTTCCCATCACTCTCTGCCCTGCAGTGTCTATCCTCCCAGGTCCTCCTTCTGTCTGTCCTGCCTCAGAGCCTCTGCGTATGCTTTTTCCTCTCACTAGAATGTTCTGGATGTACTCTTTGAGTGGCTGGTATCTGTATCCTTTAAATCTTGGCCTGCACCTCCCCAGAAAAGCTGTCCCTGACCCCCATCTCAAATAATTCTCCTCAGTGTTACTTTCTGCCTCTATAATTTGTAGTTACTGTATCTGCTTGTCTGGTTTTTATGTGTTCTCCACTGGAATAAAACTCCATGAAAGGCTGGAACGCATCTGTGCTGTTCAAGCACCTGGCTCACAGTAGGCGCACGGTATCTGCAGATGGAAGGGGTAGCCCAGATTGGCCAGGAGACTTAGGGCAAGTCACTTTCTTGGTTTCCCGCCCTGTTGAATGAGGAGGTTAAACTCAATGCCCTGAGGGCCTTCTCAACACTGATGTTTTACAATTCTTTGTCTGCAACTGGAATGTGGGCTGGAGGTTAATGATCATTTCTCTCCAGTTTACAGGAGTTTGTCATTTCCCTTCTTTCATTTGATTTGTGCAGCAGCTTTTAGAGGAGGCCAGTCAGGCTCTTCTTGCCAGCGTCATTTACATATTAGGGTAACCAAAACTCAGTGACTTAGGAATCTGCTCAACTAGCAGACCAGCAAAACCAGGTCCCAAACCTAGGCCTTTGACTTCTACTTTCATGCTTTTTTCCATAATACTACCTAAGTCAGCCTGCCCTCGATGAGGAAAAGGAGGACTGAGCAGGAAAATGGGGGCTTTCGCAGCTTCCCTTGCCCATGTCATGATGTTACTCAGAGCCCAGTAGGTTCAGATCCTTAGCCACCTGCTGGGCGACATGAGCTACGTCTAATGGTAACTAATGTGGGAATAACAAAATCTACCTTACATAACTATCATGAAGATTCACAGAGATTCAAAAGGACTTCAAGATCTTCTTTTTTCTCTAAGTGGTACTTGAAGGCTGACGTCTTAGGCGCCCATTTACTGAGGAGGGTGATGTGGGGCCAGGTGCGGAGAGGGATCCTGTCTCACTAGCCTGGACTCATCCCCTGACTCAGGAACCTGGCAGACCGAGGCTGTGTTCAGTGAGGAAGCACTGATCAGCATTCCGAGTGACCTCCCTCTTCAGAGTGCTGCCACCCTGAGTGTCAATCCCTGCACGGCCTACAGGATGTTGATGGACTTTGAGCAGCTGCAGCCAGGTAGGAGCCCACAGGTGCTGGGAGCAAGCCGGGATCTCCTCACTGGGTTGGGACCCAAGTTCTGTCCCCGAGACCATGGGAACTTACCAGTAAGGGGCTGAGAGGAAGACAGGCCCCGAACCTGGGTGAGTGTGTGGTGGTTGCTTTTGCTTTGTTAGCTTGGTTCCTAGAAAACATGCTGAAACCTCATGAGGAGAACACTCTGGATAACCGCTGAAGGATCGCATTCCCTAGAGCTTGGGATGGAATTCTGTCGTTCAGCAGAAACATGGAGCTGTGCTAAGCTCTGGGATACAAAGCCAGACAAGATAGACAGAGTGCCTGTGTTTTCAGTAAAATGCTGAACTTAGTAATTCCACTCAGCATTCATATGACACTTTCCAGTTCACATAAGTGCCTGTACATGCATTAAACCTTCAGAGCAGTGCAGTGAGGTTGGTATCATTGGTGGAGAGCTGAGGCCTCAGGCAGGGAACCTGGGTCTGAACCCCAGCTTCACCTCTCACTGTGAACTGATCTCTCAGATCATCAGATGCATCACCCATAAGGTGGAGAGTAAGGGATTGTGAGGGTTAATGGAGACACTGCAGTGTGACACTCAGCACAGTGCCTGGCACACAGTGCAGTAACCCTGCACTACTTTATTATTCTTCCTGTTCAGAAATGAGGACACTGAGGTCCAGAGAAAGAAATTGCTTATGTGAGATCACTCAGCAAGGAAATGACAAAGCCAGGTGTTCTATTCGGGGTTCCCGGAAAGCAGAGCCTGAGATAAGGACTGAGGGTGGACAGTTCGCAGGGGAGGTGATCCCAGGAAGCAGGAGTGAGGGGATGGGGAGAGCGAGACGGAAGGAAGAAAAGCCAGGGAAGGCTGGTTACTACTGTGGGCGAGCAGGGCTCAGTCTTGCTGGGAGGGGGCCTCTCAAGACCCTCATGGAACCCACCTCACAATTAACCTTCCATTGACAGGAGGCTGGGCTCATCCCCATTGTTGGGAGGGTCACCCTGCACACTATGCATGTCCAGGGGCTAGAGAAATCGCCTAGTCTAGCCCTGCCATGCGGATGTTGAAACTGAAGCAGAGATGTTGGAGCACGATAAGCTTAGGTAGCCACTACTGCTCGAGGCTAAAAACCAGTCCAGCTTCCCGCAAAGAGAAATGCAGTTCCTCACAGCTGTGCCAGAGCGGTCCTGGGAGCCTTTGGTGGAAAAAGCCAGCAGGTGACCAGGGACCTTTGCCCAAGTCTTGGTGCAGGAGGCGTTGTAGTTACCTGCATCTCATCCCCTCAGGCCACCTCTGCTTTGGGCCGCAGCTGGACATCAGGGCATTCTGACACCACCCCACCTCAGGTGCCCATGGTGCATCTCCACTTGCCTGCCTCCGGGAAGGTGTGGCCTGGGCTAGATCAGTGTTATTCTAAATTATCATACTGAGTCATAGTGAGAATTATGGTTTACATTGTAATCCAGTACATATACATGTGAGTATATATGTAATGGAAACCAAAGTTTCATGGAGCAGTATTTACCCTAACTATATGTAGTACACTATGTTCTTTTTAATTCTATTTTCTGGAATTTTAATTTTAAAAAATGCTGCTTGCAACCCACTAGGTTGATTTCATAACCCACTAATGGGTGACAATCTATGTGCTGACTCCTGGCTACAGAGAATGGGCATTCTTCTTCCAGGAACTCCCCTGTCTGTAGCCCCAGATCCCTGCATTTCAGATCACATTTCTGGATAACAGAGCACCTTCCTGGACACAATGGCATCTGAATAATGAGGAGCATCCTGATTGGTACTCCCAGGATTCCTGTCTCATGGGGAGAAAACTGAGGTCATGACCTGTCCCATGTTATGGTCTGTTACAGTCAGTCAGAAAGCTGGGACTCACACCAGGTCCATCTCATTGCAGAGTCCATGTTTTCCCCAGCATGCCACGCTGCCTCCCCCATTGGCAGCTTCCAAAGCCAGGCCTGGGCTTTGACCACAGACTACCTGTAGGACCCGGTTTCTGGGGCTGCGGGTTTCTCCAGCACAGCTGTAAACCCGTTTCAAGGCAGTGTGCTTATACTAAGCAGCACAAAGGGGAAATAAAGCATGGCCGTGCCCTCAGGAAGCTCCAGGCTTCAGGCTCTTGCTAGAAATGGACCTATCCACAACCAAGTGTAAGATTGGGCACACCACCTGCAGAGCACTGGGGAAACACATACAGGGAAGATGGGAAGGAAGCCATGCCTGAGCTGTGCTTCAAAGGGTATGTGGGATTTCAAAACGAAGGAGGAGAGAAAGAGGGAAACATTGCAAACCATGGAAATAACCTAAGCAGAGATTTGAGGACATAAAAATCAGGAGAATAATGAACGATATAAAATCATTTACACAGTGGGGTCTAAATTACGTACAGTGTGGACTCTGAGTTGCCAAGTCCTGGGAGGCACCATGGGTGTTGTGGAATTTTGGGGGACATTGGGAGAAGAGTAAGTTACAGGTCTGAGAAGGCTCAGCAGCCAGATCCTGGGTCATTTTGAGCCTGAGGACTCCCCTCTCTTGCCCTATAATAGGATCCCAGGCAGGGAGCGCTTGACCTGTTACAGGTCTCTAGGGCTTAACTTGGATTTCTTCCTGGCCTCACAGGAGACTGTGTCATCCAGAATGCGTCCAACAGTGGAGTGGGGCAAGCAGTCATCCAGATCGCCGCGGCCCTGGGCCTGAGGACCGTCAATGTGGTCCGAGACAGGTGTGTGGGGAGACCTGATCCCAGTGCTCGCGACCTGGGCCTTCCCCCCAACCCCCCGGCATCCCTGCAGGCGCCCCCATCTCCACCAGAGGGCGCCCGTGCATAAGCAGTCCTCCTCCGCGGCGGACACACACCACTGACCGTTGTCAGCTGCCCGAAAGGAGGCCCAGGCTGCCTCTGGCTGTATGATGAGCGACATCCCAAATGTAAAGGGAGAGCAGGAAGGCGGTGGGCCCGCCCTTGCTGAAGACTTTTTGAGAATTTTTGAGACTCTTGTGATAACCCATGATCTCAAAGCCCCAGTTCATATTTGGGAATGCCTGAAGCTGTGTTATTCCTACTGTGAACGTCGAACCCAGGGCCCTTTCTCCCCTAGCGTCTGTGTGGCACTTTGAACGGCTCTAACTAGGGATGTGAAGGAGATGGGGTAGGCTTGGCATCTCTGTTTTACAGTGAGGAAACAAGTTTCAGAGAAAGGAAGACACAGCAAGTCAGTAACAGACTTAGCTCCCGGGCTCGTGCTCTTTCCACCATACCATCCAGGTGCCTTAAGCCTCACTGTCAATGAATGTGGCTACATCTGTCATGGAAGTCCAGTCTTTGGAGGAGAACTGACGTTTACTTCCCTTCCCTGTCCCTTCAGTTGTGTTAACAAAAATTACTGTTTGCCTTGGCCAAAGAGGCCCAGAGCCATTCATGGGCTGGAGTGTGTTTGCACAACACCCTGAAGAGCCCCTTGAAAAGCATGGGGGGTAGGAAATGAAGCTTGTTGTTTTGGTAGACAAAGTCAGGACGTGAAATGTCTTCTCCCTGGGCCAGATGGTTTCTTGCACCTTTGAACTGGCAAGGACTGTAGAAATCACCCCATAATACGACTGAGGGAACCAAGGCCTGGAGGTGTTGGGAGTGTGATGAAATCAGGTAGCCAGCCCCTACATAAGGCCTGGCTTACACTCAATCCCAGCTTCCCACAAAGAGATACTCGTGTTCTCACAGCTGTGGCGGAGGGGTCTTACGAGCCTATGGTAGAGAAAGCCAGTAGGTGTGACCAAGGGCCATGGATTGTGTTTGGTTTCCAGACCTGACCTCCAGAAGCTGACTGACAGACTGAAGAGTCTAGGGGCTGAGCATGTTCTCACAGAAGAGGAGCTAAGAAAGCATGAGATGAAAAACTTCTTTAAGGTACCTAGGATGAGGGGCATTGTGTCTTCATTCCATGCTCATCTCCCTGGAGAAAGCTGACCTGCTAGAAAGGCTGGGACTGGCCCAGCTCCTCTCCAAATCCTCTTTTTGTCTCTTTGTGGAAGAATAAAGCCCATTCCCTCAGCTAGGGGACAGCATGCATTAAGGGCCCAGGTGCTGTGAGGGAGGCAAGAGAGACAAAGTTCAAAAAACCCTGGATGATGTGTAGGTTTGAATATTTGTAGTGCGTCACCTCAGCCCTCACAGCCAATGTGAATCTCCGAGCTGGGAGAGGACCTAGGGAACCTGAGGCACAGGGAGAGAAGAAAAAGTATTTCTGAAGCACCCTCCTTATATTGTATCTGATTAATCCCCACAAAAGTTCTACAAAGTAGGTGCTATCTCTTTTCCAGGTGAGAAAACGAAGACTCAAAACAGATCAAGGATTTCACCAAGGGCAGACAGTTACAAATGGTGGAGTCAGGGCTCTGTGAACTCACAGCCTCTTAACCTTCCAGAACCTCCACCCCCAGCACACCCAGTAGGTGACCAGACCACATCTCAGCCTCCTTCCTCTGAACCCTGGAGTGACCAAACACACACACTCTTTTGAGAACACATGCCTCTTAAGAACGTTTCTGAAGCAGGAGATCAACACCTCCAACGTGAGCTGAGTTGTAAGTGCAGAGAAGAGGTGTACTCGGGACCTGAAGTCCTTCAAAAAGAAACATAGACGCCCACCATCTGTTCTTTCCCAGAGACAAGTTTTGAACAAAATTCCAAAACAGATAACAGGATTAAGTTGATAAAGCAAAGGTCCTCCTTGGGCCGAGTTTGAAGGCACGAACATCCCATTTTCTTCACCCCCTCCCTCTGACACAGCGCTTGGGCCAGGGAGGCACTGTTTGTAGCAAGCCTCCGCCCC